CAGAGGTGGGGGCCAGGCACCAGGGGTTCAGGGTACCCCCGGCAACACAGCTCTAGGTGGGCAGGGCAGGCCCTCAAGGAACTGTGGGGTGTGGTCAGTGGCCCCTACCAAGTCAGAGCAGCGTGCACTCCTGCACCGGCAAGCAGCCCACACAAATACACCATGATCACGCAGGCGCACAGCTCCCGGCCCAATACTCCCAGGAAAACTCCCAGTCTCAGCGTGTCCCAATCAGCCGCTCTCAGATCAGGCAGTGCAGCCCGACAGCCAATCGCCACCCTGGCAACTCTGCACATGCAGTGCAGAGAGTGGAGACCCAAGGCAGCTTGCGCGTGCACACACGTACGCCTGTGCCAACTCAACCAGACCAGGGGTCGGCAAACAGCGGCTTGCGAGCCACATGTGACTCTTTGGGTACATTCTGTCTCAAAAGTTTGCCGACCCCTGGAAGAACCAATCCTGTCCCTCACAACAATTTAAAAGTTATTCGAGAGCCATAAATATATTTTTACCTAATCACCATTATGTAAATAATATCCTTTAAAAATTTTATAAATAAAACTGATAGTTTTATTTTCATTTTCAATTTTACTTCAGAGCCACATGTACATACCCAAAGAGCCGCATGTGGTTCACGAGCCACAGTTTGCTGACTCCTGGCAGCTCTTCCGTCTCAAAAGTTTGCCGACCCCTGTACCAGACCAATGCGGTCCCAGACCTGACCCTCTGTGGGAGGGTCCAACCCTGAAAAAATGGCGCCCTCCTGTACACTACTTGTGTGCAAGCTCCACACCAGGGGGAACTATGGTCCCAAAACCTCCAGCTCCTGTGCCTAAAGTGCTCAGTTCAGTCTTCCCCGCAGGCTCCTGGGCCCCACTCACACAGCCACTCCCTCCACCAGGGACCGGGCGAGTGCTCACCAGCGAGCAAGTCCATGTGCCGGCTCCACTGGTTCTCCAGCTGCTGTCAGCCTCACCGTGTTGAGCAAGGAGAGTGCTCACTATTTTCTACTGCCAGCTATCATGGAACTCCTCTTCCCAGCAAAGTAACTCTGGGCTGGTGAGCTCGGTGTGGGGCCGGAGGGTCTCGCCCCCAACTGGAGAAGACTCCCCACCGCTGAGGTGTCCCTCACGGGGCTTGCCCTCTCTCCGTGGAATCAGCCTGCCTCACATCTCTGCCCCTCCTACCAGACTCGACATGGTCTCTTCTTTAAATCCTTCGTTTAGAGATTCTGTTCATCTAGTGTTCAGGGGACTTCCGAGGTTGAATGTTGTATAAATTATTTGTAATTCTGGTGTGATCCTGGGAGGCAGCTGGCACAGTGTCCATCTATTCCGCCATCTTACCGGAAGTTCCACTAGCTTTATAATTAGTTGATGCTCTACACTCATGTTTGCCTTTATCAGTGAGGTTTTTTTTTTCTTTCCTATATTTTCTTATTTTTAGTTTTAGCCTTTTCTTTTCCACTTAAAGAAGTCTCTCTAACCTTTTTTGTAATTCCAGTTTAGTGGTGATGAACTCATTAGCTTGTCTGGAAAACTATATTTTCCCTTCAATGCTGAATAATAACCTGGGTACAGTATTCTTAGTTGTAGGTCTTTTCTTTCATCACTTCGAATACATAGTGCCATTGTCTACTAGCTTGCAAACTTTCTGCTGAAAAAAATCAGGTGATAAACTTATGGGGGATTCCCTTGTACATAACTAGCTGCTTTTCTCTTGCTGCTTTTAAGATTCTCTCTACCTGTAACTTTTGGCATTTTAATTGTGATATGTCTTGGTGTGCACCTCTTTGGGTTCATCTTGTTTAGGACTCTCTGTACTTCCTGGATTTGGATACCTGTTTCCTTCACCAGATTAGGAAAATTTTCAGCCATTCTTTCTCCAAGTGGGTTTTCTGTCCCCTTCACTCTCTCTTTTTCTCCTGGGACTCCTATGACATGGATGTTGGTATGCTTGATATTGTCCCAGAGGTTCCTTAAACTATCCTTATTTTTAAATTCTTTTCTTTCTGCCATTTTAATTGGGTGAGTTCCACTATCTTGTATTCCAACTCACTGACTCATTCTTCTATATTATCTATTCTGCTGTTGATTTCCTCTAGTTTACTTTTTCATTTCAGTTATTGTATTGTCCAGTTCTAATTGGTTCTTTTAAATATTTTCTATCTCTGTTAAAGTTCTCATTGAGTTTACCTGTTCTTCTCTCAGGTTCATTGAGCATCTGTATACCCACATTATTTTGAACTCTTTGTCTGGTAGATTGCTTATTTCCATTTCATTTAGTTCTTTTTCTGGGGTTCTGACCTGTTCTTTCATTTGGAACATATTTCTCTTTCTCCTCATTTTGGCTGCCTCTCCGTGTTTGTGTCTATAAATTAGGCAAAACAGCAACCTCTTCCAAACTCGAAGGAGTGGACTTGTGTGGGAGCTTCCGCTTTATAGACTGCACCTGCCCGGTGTCTTTGGCAGGTCAGCTGGAGCTGGAGTGGGCATGGGCCACAGGAAGACTCATGGCAAGCTACCCTGGGGCCGCCTTGCTAGGCCAGTTGGAGGTGGAGAAAGAGCAGGCCAAGGGGAGTCCTGGGGGGAACCTTGTAGGGCCCACCTTGGCAGGCTGGCTGGGATTATAGTTGGAGCAGTCTTGTTCCATAGGGAGTCCCAGGGACAAGCCATGCTGGGGCCACCTTGGAAGGCTGGGTGGAGATGTAGCTGGGGGGGCTCAGGCCAAGGGGAGTCCCAGGGGCAAGCTACACTGGGGCCCGGAGCTGTGGCTAGAGAGTGTGTGGGACACAATGAGTCCTGGGGGAAAGCCACAGAACTGGTGTGGGCTTGGGGCACACTGGGATGGCCTTGGCTACCTGGCTAGAGTGCCTGGATTGTGCTCCTGCCTCTTTAGTCAAGGTGGAAGGGGTGCACAATGAATGGTTCTCTTTGGTGCCTCTCACACCAGAGAGAGTTCCCATAATTCCCCTCTCATTTGGCAGATGCTGTAGGGTTAGTAAACACATTTCCTTCCTATACAGCGTAGGTGCCCTTTAAACCACTGTTTTTTTCACTGCAAAGTGGGAGAGCCTGCTTGTAAGGTTGAGGCATTCAGGGTGGAGTTCCCATGGTACCATGTCACCATCTCTACTACACGTTTCTGTGTGGTCTCTCTCTCATTTGTTGTGTAGAAGCAGTCCTCAGTTCTTCTTCAGGGGGAATTGCCCTGTCTACAGGTGTAGATTCATGAAGAGAGGGCCAGCAGGATGGCGCAGTTGGTTAGAGTGTGAGCTCTGAGCAACAGTACTGCCGGTTGGATTCCCACATGGGCCAGTGAGTTGTACCCAAGCTGAGCTCAGAAAGCGTGCCCTTAGCAGCAATGTTGCCGGTTTGACTCCTGTAGGGGATAGCGAGTTACGCCCCTTGCCCCGCAACTAAGATTGAACACAGCACCTTGAGCTGAGGAGCCACAAGTTGCCAACTAGTGGCCGGATGGCTCAATTGGTTAGAGTGCGTGCCCTTAACAACAAGGTTGCCAGTTCCATTCCCACATGGGATGGTGGGCTGTGCTCCCCCCACCCCCGCAACTAGATTGAAAAGCGGCAACTTGACTTGGAGCTGAACTTCGCCTTCTACAACTAAGATTGAAGGACAACAACTTGACTGGGAGCTGATGGGTCCTGGAAAAGCACAATGTTCCCCTTCCCCAATTCCCCAACACTGTACCCTTCCCCAATTCCCCAATAAAATCTTTAAAAAAATATATATATATATATATACATATATATATATATATATATATATGTTCATGAGAGGGGATGAGTTCAGGGTCTTTCTACATTGCCATCTTGTACTGGGCTCCTGGGAACTTCTTATTCATGTAAATTCTCTCTGTTTACCCCAGACTAACTGAATAAGATATTCTGGAGAAGAGGCCCAGGAATCTGTTTTAACAACATTCTAGGTGGTTCTGATGCACATCGAAGTCTGAGGACCACTGCTCCAGGTGATTATAAGATAGATTCAGGTTTGGGACCCATTGATCCAAGGGTCCTTCCAGAATATTGATTCTAACTGTGGCTCCTTTGGGCACATCCAGTGTAGCCCAAGTGGTAGGGAGTGAATACTGGGACATCTTTAATCTTCTCTAGGGACCCGTCTGTTGAAAGGGAGAGGCTGGAATGGACAACTTCTCAAGGCTGTTGCTATACCTGGCAGTAGTTTCTGCTAGCTGCTAGACAGCCAGCCAGCCAGCCAGCCAAAGACACTTCTGAAAGGTTCTATTCAAAGTTGTTAGATGAGCAAATACCACCACTTTTTTCCTTTTCCTTACACCGGGAGCTGTGATCAGAACTGTTGGCAGCTGTGGCTATGAACCCAGGAAGTGGCCTGGGCAGAAGAATATCAATTCCCACCTGCTGGGGAGCTAGACCTCTGGGAAGGAGCTGGCCAGCGGGTTCGGAAGAGGTGATGTCTCCCAGAAACAGGGCCAATTCCTTGGAGTGGAAAAACCAGTCCCTCATCTGCATCCCTAGTATAGTCCTTACATTTAGAAGGTATCTGTATGGTGGGTTGTGCTGAACACTCACCAGATGGTCTCTGGGGCTCTCTCAGTCTGAGAAAGACACATGGACAGACCTACCACCCCCAAACAACCTAACAGCAACATTAAAACCAAGATGAAAACTTATATCACAGCCCAGTTGGGGCGCTTTGGGGCTGGAGCTGTGGTACTTTATAGCTGTAGACAGAGCAGAGGTTAGAATCTCTCCTGTCCTTCATGGCCCATATAGCATGACTAAAGCAGGGCTCTGTGCTGAATTGGCCACTGCACAAAGAGAATTCCATAGCTGTGTATCCAGTCTCAGGGGCTTAGCACTCTTAAACATTTCCACAAGGCAGTGCAAGTTCTGGTTTCTGGTTTCAACTACAGTTTATTTTCTTAATCTCCTACCCTTTGATTTATTTGGGGGCCAGGAATCAACCCTCTGGTATTTTATGAAATCATAAGACTTTGTGCTGAATTTGAACCCCACAAGGGTCAATATGCACTCCATCACCACTCATATTCTAGAAAAACATTCTTGCCAACAGTGGGATTGGGTCATCTTCATGCTTTTTTCCCAGCCTCAGACTCCTTATCTGCAAAATACGGATGATACCATCAACTTCACAATGCCTTTCCTTCACATTATAGGGATTTAATAAAGTCTAATTTCTTACTTACTTCTTCCTTCCAGAAGCCAGTGCCCTGGGCCACAAAATTGTAGAAGTGGGGCCTGTGCCCAGTCTCTGTCTCTCCACCCAGAATTCTACTGTAGTGAGTTGAATTATGCCCCCAAAAGATATGTTGAAGTCCTAAACCCTTTATAAAGAAAGGAGAAGAGGTTTAGATAGAGCAACATACAAAATAGAAGGTCATGTAAAGACAGAGGCAGAGATAGGCGTGATGCAGCTATAAGCCAAGGGATACCAACGGTTGCTGGGAGCCACTAGAGGTAGGAAGAAGGAAGGAAGGATTCTTCCATGGAGCCTTCAGAGGAAGTGTGGCCCTGTCAGTACCTTGATTTCAGACTTCTAGCCTCTAAAGCTGTGGGAGAATAAATTTCTGTTGTATTAAGCCACCCAGTTTGTGGTAATTTCTTCCAGCAGCTTTAGGTAACTCATATCCCCATCCTCTCCCAAAACCTTGAGCATGGCTGCTGACCGTTCCTTACCTGGCCTGGTTCCCATCAGCGGCCTCTGCTCTCCTGCTGATCTCCACCTTTCTCTGGCTTTCCCTGAAATAAGATAATATTTTACATGTGAATCACACTCTGTAGTTTACAGGGCATCAACAATATCCAAGTTTTCACTCAACCCCTGCAGCCACCCTGAGTTTAAAGTTTTGTTCACCCCATTTAATAGATGTGGAAACTGAGGCTAAAGAGATTAAATTGATTACCCTATGATCTCATGACAAATAGTGGGAAAGCCAAGACTAAACCCAAATATTCTCACTCTTAAGTCAGTGTTCTTTTTTCTTTATATTTTTTATTATGAAACATAATAACACATACATAAAGTGCACAAAACACAAATGCATAGCTCAGGGAAAGCAATACCCACATAACCACCATCGAGGTGAAGGAATAGGGTGAGGTCCACCTCCCAGGCATACTCCTGTCAATCACTCTCTCTTGCCTCCTCTCCAAGGCAACACTGTCCTTTGCCAGGCCAGTGCTCTTTTCACCAGACCACGCATTCCATGCTGACCTCTGTGTCATTAAGAATCAATGGAGACTTCAATAAAAAGACAGAAACCTGTGTACTAGGAAGTCCTCTAGACTTTTTCCCCTAAGGCTAAGGAGTTCCCTGAAGCTAGGCCTGTCTAGGACTCCTCTCCATTCTTCTCTTTAGAGGGGGGAAAAAAAACTCCTAACTGGTCTTGACATTTTCAGAACCATAAAAGCTGGGAGTGGCTGCCACTTTTCTGAATCAGGAAAACCACAGAATTTTAACAAGAAGAGAAGGAGCAGGGGAGGGCAGAAGGATAGGGCCAAGGGCTGGGATCATGGATGGGTTAAAGAAATAAAGCAATAATCAGCAAATCCCTCTGGACAGCCTGTCTGCCACTTCTCCTCCCTCCTTCCGTCAGAGATGCCTCTGCTAAGCTGGCCCACGGAGGCAGGGGTAAACCACATGGCCTCTTGGATTCTTCTAGCCTGAGTTCGTGACCCCTCTCTTCTCCAGGAGTCTGTGTTCCTGCTCTTAGTATTACAGGGTAGGGTCAAAACAGGGGAGAATAAGAGAATGGGGCAATTCAGAAAGCTCTAACCAGGAATTTGAGCTGTCACTTCCTGCCTGACTTCTGGAAAGTCACTTACCTCCTCTGGGCTAGAGATCCAGCCCTCCAAAGCAAGGGCACAGGGTCAAGTCCCTCTGGGGTGATGGTGAGTTAGCAATGATGTAGACATGAGACGCTCAGTCAGGCTCCCAGATGAGAAGAGACAAGCAGATGGATCTTTCTATAGTGGGTCAGCGTTCGGGTCACACATGCCCCTGAGCTGCGCCAGGGGGTAGATTTCAGTGGGCTACTTCTACAGATAGGCTGCAAGACAGGGAAACCAGGGGCTCTGAGGGATAACAGGAGGTCAGGGGAAGTGACAGCACAGCCAGCTGTCAGTTATAATCAGCATCACCCTACCTGCTGTCAGGGCTGCTGCTGTGTGGCCAAGGCCCTGGGAGAAGGCAGGACAGTGTAGACGGTCGGGAGAGAAGAGGAGAAGGGCTCGGCTTAGTTGTCCTGTCTCTTCTCCTTGCATCAAGACAGGGCAAGTCCCTGAGCTCGAGGGGAAATTCATACTATTGGGGCTATTTTCTAGGGGAAAGCTGTGGCCTGAGTTCCTGAAATCTGTTCTAAGACTGGCTTTATGGGGTAGAAATTGGAAGCCCTCAATTTAGTTCTGATTCTACTACTTATAGTGTACTTGAGAAAGTCACTTCTACTCTCTGAGCCTTAGTTTTTGCATCTGATGATAATGATGATGATAATAATAATATTTCTTAATGTGTTGAGCACATAGTATGTGCTAGGCAATGAGCTAGGTGCTTAATATTCATTCCATCTAATATCTGTCCTGTCTACCTCACAGCGGTGCTGTGAGGATCAAATAAAAAATGTATTTCTTCAAAAAGTTAAACATAAAATTACCAGTTAAACATAGAATTACCATATGACCCAGCAATTCCACTCTTAGGTATATACCCCAAAAAATTGAAAATAGGTATTCAAACAAATACTTGTTCACGAATGTTCATAGCATTATTCACAATAGTCAAAAGGTGGAAACAATCCAAATGTCCATCAACGAATGAAGGATAAACAAATTGTGGTATATACATACAATGGAATATTATTTAGCTCTAAAAAGCAATGAAGTCCTGATATATGCTACAATTTAGATGAACCTTGAAGACGTTATGTTAAGCGAAAGAAGCCAGAGACATAATCACATATTGTAAGATTTCTTTTATATGAAATATTCAGAATAAGCAAATCCATACAGAGAGAAAGCAGATTAGTGGTTGCCAGGAATTGGGGGAAGAGGAGAATGGAGAATGATTAATGGGTGAGGGCTGTGGTTCTGGGGTAACAAAAACCTTCTAAAACCAGAGAGAGGTGGTGGTTGCACAACATTGTGAATTAATTAAATAATACTGAATTATACACTTTAAATGACTAATTATATATTATGTGAATTTCATATATATATATATATGGAAGTCTTTGCAATGTATAAATGTGTAAAATAACTGGAGTACATGACTACCAGCAGCTAGCTTATTCCTCTAAAATAAGAATGGATAAGGGCAGTTTGCCTTAACTTTCCTCTTAATCATATTGCAGCCATGCTTCACACATACGGTTGGATTCAGCCTCCTCTCAGTGTTGTTGCATATGTTCTCCGTGCATACATTGATGTGCCCACAGGCTGTGTTGCCCCGAGGGGAACAGTTACCACATGGAGCACCGCCCCTCTGCAATGAGTACTGAGAGCTCCTAATTGACCCATCTCCAGTAGCAGGGAGTAATCAGTAAATACCATGCGTTCCTATTAGCATTGAGCCTCTTCATGCATAGCAGTTCCATCAAGGCTCACAGAAAGGCCAGCTGAGCTCTGGAGGTCAGTGCAAGTGGCAGGCCGGCCAAGTGGAAGGGAGCAGAGGAGTGGCCATAATGCAACCAAGGGCAGGATTTGCTTTTAGCTAGTGAATGGCACACCACACTCCCCTGCTGCCTCCTCCAGGGCTGATCTCCAAGCACTTAAAGGCAGGAGCCAGGGCTGGAGTAGGAGCCTATGGGGCTGGATGTGCACCATGAGGCAGCTGAATCATTACGGCTCTGGGCACTCCCAGTTGGTACTCAGGCCTCTTCTGTCACTTGATCTGGGCTTATTACTTTGCATGAAGATCCCAGTAGGCTGGGCGGACAGGGTCGTGTTACAGGTGGGGAGGGGTGGAGAACGATCTTGGGTGCTGTGAGCTTGCCAGAAAAAGGCTACTTTCTTAGACGGACAAGCAGAAGGAGCCACCAGTTCTCCTCCATCCAACCCGTGCCCCCAGAACACGCAAGGTTCTAGCAGGCCCCTGGTCACCAACCTCTGAGTGAGCTTGCCTTGTTGCACCTCAAACCACATACATAATGACTCCAGATGAGTGGAGCCAGGTGATCTCTCTGAATGGCAAAACTTAAAGAAGTGAGTTCATGCCACTGGGCTCCTCTGCCTCTGCTCCTCTGCAGTGGGTTGGCACTGCAGTAACCACATGCACTGCCAGGGGCCCTGCCAGCCGCACTCAAGGTTCCTACTACCTGGTAGCCAAGACCACTCAACTCCCGGATGCTGGAGGCCTTAGGAAATGGCTCCTTAGTGTTTCCTTGCATTTCCCCCAGGCCTGGGAAGTACTGGGACTTAAGGAGAAGCTGCTGGCAGCTCCAACGACTGTGCCTAACCTGATGGCTGCCATGTAGTTGGCCCTACATCGGGACCCAGACAACAGTTTGAATGAGATTTTGTGGGAAGGGAGAGGGAGCCACATAAGCCAGGCAATCTGCTCACCCCCATCACCCTCTCTAATTACACACACACACACACACACACACACACACACACACACACACACACACACTCACATCCAAAAGAGGCAAATGCCAATACTCAACAAAAGGGGTTAAATACTACAGAAAGGAGGAGAGGTTTTGCCAGAACAGGGTTGGTCCTGTGTAGCTAGAGAAGCATCCAACTTAAACAAGAAAAAAGAAACAAAATCTGACTTTCCTTTACCCACAACCAGCTGGTGTTCTCTTCCCATCCCTCCTGCTACGTTAAATTAGAAGAGGGCCTCACACTGCAGAGGATAGAACACTAATTAGAGCATTAACTTTGTGCCTGAACCCGTCACTTTTTCCTAATGACATCCCCACGTGGCTCAGAACCTCCAAGGGGCCCAGCCTGGGACTGCAGACATGGGTTCCTAAGAACAGCAGCATGACTAGGCAAGAACATCTCCCAGCTACCAACCTTGAAATTCTTCAGATAATGGTACTTGTTCATGTCAAATTCCGCTAATTGGTGATGCCGGCTCCTCTCCTCCAACAAACCCACAGTAGCCAACTAAATACTAAGGCTTTCTAACTTAGGGGCCTCCTCCTGCTCCCCAACCCCACAATCATTCCTCCTCTCCTCCCTGCATCTTTATGTCTGGGGCTCTCTTCCCTTTTGTTGAGGCAAAATGAAGGCGGTGTGTCTGGCAGCTGTCAACTCGAAGCAATTGATGACAACTTTACTGAATACCCATAATGCCCAAGGCATGTGTACAAAGAGCTGCGGAAGCTGTTCTTTCAGCAACGTCAGCATAAACCAAGGCCAGAGTCAAAGAAAACTAGGCAAGAATGCAGAAAAAGAGAGACAGAATCAAAGAACACCTGCACCTCTGTCCTCTTTAGGTTTGGTTCTCTTGGAAGCCTGTTCTGAGGAAGAAGAGGCAGAAGCCAGTTCTATGCACCAGGTCAGGAGACATCCCGCAGTCCCAGACTGCAGGGTAGAAACCCAGGAACAGATCTCCTGCAGTTGGGGCTTTCTGGGAGAACTTTTTTTCAACTAACATTCCCAGGTGAGCACAGAAGACTCCTTTGGATAAGTATGGGTTGTAATATAGGTCTCAGGGCAAATACTGAGTGCCTCTGGTGCTGCCCTCATCTGCCATTGGTGAGGGGTGAGCCTCAGCAGCAAGAGAAATGTGGA